CCAGCCCTTCTGCAGGCTCTCCCTGCTGTTGTGGCAAGGCCACCAAAGCACCAACAGACAGGTTTAGCTTCTGGGCCGGGCTTTTGGGCAGCCTGGTATGGGTGAGAGGAAAGTTTCTGGGCAGAATAATAACGTGCTACCTTCTAGCTGCAGCCTCCTGCTATGCCTCCCCCAAGCACGCACATGCCATGAAGACCAGCTGCCTGAGGGGCCTCCAGGGTCTGAGCCCCCACTTGCAGGGACTACTGTGTGCAGGAGGGTGCATTTCGGTGTCTGTAATTAAAAATGAGCACGCATCACTTCACCCAGCGAGGAGACGCCACCACCTCGGGTGGGATGCAACAGCTGCTTGCTGGCAGTGCAGCTGCCTGGGTGTCCAGCCTGGCATAGAAGGCTGGTTAGGACTGGGTAGCTCAGGGTGAATAGTAAGGCAAGGCCTAGGGCCCCTCAGCCACCTCATCCCTTTCTGGGCCTAGAGCTCATGTAGAGATGTGACCCATCCTTGGCCCCCACATTGCCTCCTCCTTTTTGGCATTTGCCACCACCTAGCTCTAAGCAAACCTCCGGCCTCTGGGTAGCCTGGGAGTGGGACCCATTGTCAACTTCCATCCTGGGCCTGACCTCTTCTGTCTTCTGTTTACGCCTCACCCCTGGCTGAAGCCAGGGCACAGGGCGATGTCGTGAGTGCAAAGCACTAAATGGGGATAGTTCAGACCCTCTCTCTTACCTCTTTTCTTTCTCTCCCCTGTTCAGAAAGACCTGCTCGGGAGGCACTGTGGGTCCCGTGGGAAACTTTGGCCTGGTGCATCAGTCTTGCTTTTGTTATGGGAGCCCTGAGCTGAATGGCTAAATGCCTGCACCTTGCCCAGGAGATGACTTAGACTGAGGTGAGGTGGGAATGTGTGTTGTGTCCTCAAGGTAGCTGAGGCACTGTGGCTGCTTGTGTGAGTGGGCGAGCTTCCCTTTTTTTGCCAGCACTCCTGAGTGGGTGAGCGGGTGTTAGTCAGGGTGGGTGGTGGTAGGGAAGTGCTGGTGACTGAGGTCTCCTAGAAGTTCCTGCATCATAGGCAGTGTCCCAAGTCCCCATCTTTTTCTGCATGTGGAAGACCCAGGGGGATGGAGGCCTGGAGGTATGTCTGAGGGACTGAACTCCACATCCAGTTTCTTGCAGTCCTTGGTGCTACCTTGGCATGATTCACTGACTTTTTGCCTGTTTGGGAGAGGATGTGAACATCTGCAACTCTCCATCTTGGAAAGAGGCTTTATAGTCTCCTTGGGTCTGTGTGTCGGAGTGAGCTGCTCTGGGCTGTGGGTTTGTCAGATGGCCATGGTGTCAGTGGCAGAGCATGTTCTCATGTCCTGGCAGTGCTTCCATACACTTCTGGCTGTCCGGGCTGTGGAAGAGGGTGTGCCAGGGCTAGGAGGACTCCAGGCCCACCCAGGCTCTTCACCAGCAGGACCAGCCCAGTGTGACCTTGAGCTGGTGTCCTTGGCCCTGGCAGTCAGTCTGATCTCCAAGGGCTCCCTGGGGCTAGCTGAGGAGAGGCAGCTGGCCTCACCTTCCTCCAATCATTTTCCAATATTTACTGTCTCATTGACATATTGCCCGGGCCATGATTCCTACCGTGCAGCAAGGACCTGAGAGCCAGCCCATGGTCACCTTCTCTTCCCTCTGAGGCTGCACCTGGTTGGGGGGAAAGGTTTGTCCTCTGCCTGATCACTCAGGGACAGAGCATGCATATAGCTTGTCCTGCCCCTCACCCTCCATCCCCAGCCTTCACTAGACTCATTCTTTCTCAGTGGCAGAGCATGGAAGGTAGAGCAGTCTCCCAGGAAGGGCCAAAGGGCAACTGCAATACCCTTCTCTGCCTGTGGGCCTGGCTTGGAAGTTTGCTCCTTTGCCTTCTTCCTGCCTCTTCTCTGCCCAAGTCTGAATTTTGGTAGGACCTGGTGCATGTGTTACAATGATTTGGCGCTGAACATCATGGCATTTTCATTAGCTCCATGTCTCCCTCTAGTATGGAGGATCAGAGCCCCCAGGTAACAGTGGGTAGGACCAGGCTAGTTTTGCCTCCAGGGGTCTGGAAACAGGCTCTGGAAGCTGGTGCTCTTGTGTGGGATGCTGTGAGGAGGGAGAGCTGCACAGAGAAAGAAGGGCTGTGTGGCAGGGCCACAGTTTTCTCTTCATCCTCTGTCTCCCTTGTTCCTCTGTTCTCCCCAATGGCTTTGAGATGAAGGCGACGGCAAGGATGGAGGATGCAGTTTCCATGGCAACGGAGCTGTCCACAGCCAGGCAACTTCAGAGCGGGGCTCTCTGGAGGAGGCAGATGCACAGAGCAGCCGCAGAGCTACCTCCTGCCTGCCAACGAGGGGGCTGGCAGAGCAGGTGGCACAGGGTGGCAGCCTGGTGCTGCCCAGCCTAGAGGAGAGGGTGGAAAGAGCAGTACTCCCTCTTATTATCTTGTTGCTGCCAAGTTCCTCCAGAAGATAAGGTAGGGAAGTAGCCTGAGTGTTGAGAGGGGTTGGGTTAGGATCCCCATTGTCCCTGGAATCTCTGGGTGGACACAGGCTCTGGCCTTTGGGATATTCTTCAAAAGCCAAATATCTGCTTGCTCTTGTGATGGCTACTCAGCTGCTACCCTTTGGACCCTTTTCCCAGAGTGTGAGGATGTGGTGAAGGCCATGCCCTGACTAGATTCAGGAATCCTTTCTTCCATCTAGCTACCGGGAAGGACCTGGACCTTCCTCAGGGGCTTCCTTGCCCTTGGCTTCAGTGACCTGGCCCAGTTTGCTGAGTGGGTCTCAGGTTCGGGCAGATGCCTGCCTCTAAGTGCTGGCATTGGAGGGGCCCCAGATCCTGACAGCTTCTGATCCTGACACTGTGATCTTGTTTAGCCTCCTCCTGGAGACCAGGGCTGGAGTGGGTATGTCAGTGGGTAGGGAAGCAAAGACAGCCATCTGTGTGTTTAGAAATGGGAGGTGTTGGGGTCATGGACTCTTGAGATGGAGAAAGCTCAGAGGGCACCCAGGTTGGCAAAGAAGATTTGACTCCAGCTATTAAAAAATAATGACTTTCCTTCACTGACCTTGGAATCATGAGGGCTGGAGTGTTCTACTTGACGTTGAGCACATGGAGACTTGGGATGAAAGGCTTTGCCTAGATTGCTCATGGAGTTAGAGGCTGAGCCGCAACCAGACCTGGGCCAGGCCAACCACCTCCTGTATGGCCTCCTAGATGCATCCTCCCTCCAGCTGGCTGCTGAGGGTCCTAGTTAGATAGACCTTTCAGGCTCACTTCTGTTTCCCTTTATCATCTGTAGGCTTGTGTTTAACCCTTCTTTGCTTGTTTGCTTTAGTTGAAGGAGGTTCCTCAACCCTAGGCTTGACCAGGCAGGCAGACAAGTGGAGTCCTGGAGTGGTTTCTCTCTGCAAGGCAGTTAAGTCTCTCATTACTGCTAAGTGGAAGGCTCATTTCAGAGCTGTGGTGAGAGCAGGGCAGGTGCTATAAATAGCCGTGTTGTGAAGGTTGGCCGGTGAGCAGTGACAGGGCAGGGGCCTTGCAGTCATCTTAGTGGGTATTTGTGCTCCATCCATTGCAGGAAAGACGGGGGCAGGCTCTGAGCGAGAGGCACTTGACCCCTCTTCTGGCTGTCCCTGCCTGCCTCAGGCATGTCTGTGCCCCTCCATATACATTGGGGGATGGGAAGCATTGGATTCTATGTCTAGGCAGAGGGAGGTGAAGTGCCTGTTGAAACTTGGGGCCCACTGGCGGGCTGCTCCGCCTCGCGCGGGGCGTCTCCCGCCGCGGGCCGGGACCGGGGTCCGGTGAAAAGTGCTCCTAGTCCTGGGAAACGGGGTGCGACCGGAAAGGCGGCCGCCCCCTCGCCCGTCACGCAACGCACGTTCATGGGGAACCTGGCGCTAAACCATTCGTAGACGACCTGCTTCTGGGTCGGGTTTTCGAACGTAGCAGAGCAACTCCCTTGCTGCGATATATTGAAAATCAGCCCTCGACACAAAGGTTTGTCTGCGTGAGCCGGGGCCCGGCAGAGCGGGCGTGTTCCATCCACCCTTCCGTCTCCCTCACGGCCTTACTCCCCGTGGCCTAGGGGTTGGCAGGGGGCGGCCACTGGGGTTCCAGTCCTCTCCCGTCCTCGCGGCCGGGGTCAGACAGGTGGGTCCGGCGCGGCCGCCCTTCCAAAAAAAAAAAAAAAGAAACTTGGGGCCCAAAAAAAAGGTGGTACATCAGCCCATTGGGTAATGTCCTGTGCTAGATCTACTTGTCCTGCCTGCCCTTTCAGTATAGGGCCTCCCTCCTCCCCATCAGCAAAAACCCTGAGCCCATAGGTGAGGCGATATGGGAACTACACCTGATAGTCTCAGAGGTTGACATAGACTAGCAGGGGAATAAATGGGAGTGGAAGTGGGGTTTAGCTGGCCTTGACCCCTGTCCAGGGTCTGTAGAGGCATGTCTGCAAGAGCAGGAGATGGAGGCCTAAGGATTGGGGGTACTGGCCTTCTGATATCTGTGGATCAGTCAGCATCGTCCAGGGTAGACCAAAGGTCAGGGCCAGGGGGTCCTGGGATGGAAAGTCTGGCAGGTGAGAATACCTTGGCTTAGGCACATGGGGTCCCTATCCTGGGGGTCATCCAGGGGTGCCAAGCTTCATGGCTCTGTGAGACCAGTGCCTTCTGGAACAGCCTTTTGGTCTCAGTTGTACACATAGGAGAGCAGTGCCAGGCTCCTGGGTTCTTTTATCACCTGCCCTAGGGTGTCATCCTGGGTCTTAAGACTATTATTGCACTCTGGAGTCTGGGGCCCTGCTGTTAGGGTGCTCTATGTATGCCTCCCTCAGCAGGGCTTTGGAACTTGGAAGAGATTGAGAGGCAGAGTCAGCCCCTGGGACAGAATAGGTAATAGCCAGTTCCGGGGCCACCCAAGGACAAGTGAGTCAGGGGCCCTGTAGGGCTCATTCTGCCTTTTGCAACTCTCTTACTAGGAGCGGAAGCTGTGTGCCCATCCTCGGCTGGAGATTTACCAGCAAGACCAGATCCATTTCATGTGCCCACTGGCACGGCAGGGAGATTTCTATGTTCCTGAGGTGAAGGAGACAGAGCAGAAATGGCGGGGGCTTGCAGAGGCCATTGATGCCCAGGTGGATGGCACAGGTACAGAAGGTGGGGTATGAGTGTGGGGCCCTCCTGGAGCTCTTCACTCTGGATTTCAGGGGCTTGGTTGAGGAGGCTCCTTCCTCTCTGGGTTGGCACTGTGGGTGTCAGTCTATGCTTGGCAGAGGGAGGAAGCAGACCCACCTAGCTGAGGACCCATGTGGAGTTTCCTGTTCCCAGACATGTGGATCTACATAGATGTGGATTCACACACATTACCTCCTGGCAACACAGATACAAAGACCCTGCCCGGATTCCTTCCAGATGCAGCAGGAGTACCCTTGGAAACAAAGATCACAGATAGCTCAGTGCTCATGGGAGGGGGCTGAGGCTGCTCAGGAAAGGAGTCCCTTGGGTGGGGCTCAGCAGGAAGTAAGATTGGCACTGGATCTGGAAAGTAAGGAGAGGAGCAAAGAGTTCTCTTGTCTCTCAGTATGGGCCCCGCCCAGAGCCAGCTGCTTTCTCCCTGCCTGGGAGCAACCAGGGAGCATGCAGAGGGGAGCCAGTAGATCAGTCCCTGGACCTTCCTCCAGGGCCAGCCTACATTCCTGCTGGCAGCCTCAAGGCTCCAGGTCCAGGTTGCTCAACTCTCTGCAATGATCTCTGTGACCCTGGGCTGTCCCAGGCACAATGAGGTCTGCTGGTTACATCCCAGATGGTCCCAGGGGACCTTATAACTTTGGCCAACCATGTGGAGTCCATGACTTCTAGGAGTGGTACAGGGCTCTGGGTAGAGGAACTCTCCCTCTTCTCCTCCTTCTTTAGCAGACGCTCTGCCCATCCAGTCTTCAGCAGTCAAGGTCACCCTAGGGAGACGTGTCAGCTGGGGCTGGGCAGGAGGGTACTGGGAGCAGTCTCTACTCCCTAGGGGCCTGTGTCCAACACAGTTAACTTCATCTGCCACTTAATTACCTCCATGGGGTACAGCTCCCTTCTGCCTGGTAGTGCCCGGCAGACACTCTTCAGTGCCCCCACTGTGGGCACAGGACATGGCACAAGGTCAGCAGGCTCAGGCAGCCTCCAGGGCAGGAAGACAGAGCGTATTCACTTTCCTGTGACCTCCCGCTGCTGCCTGTCTCCCCCTCCTTGACCCACCCACCCGGCTTCCTTCCCTCCCAAACACTGCCTGCCAGGGGCATTGAAGGACTGCTTGGCATCCGTTACAGCTGGCTGCAGCCACAGTTCCCACATTCCCCAGCTCCTCAGCCTATTTTCCTCCCCTCCAGCCCCCCACCCACTCCCTGGTGTTGAGGCCAAGGGGTCTGCCCACTTCTCACAGGGCCCGTCCTGACACTCCAGGAGGACTCTGGGTGTTTGCCTGCCAGGTGCATGCCATTGACACAGCAGTTGGTGGTGGATGTATGGAGGGGGTCTGACTGCCCAAGGCTTGGCCTGTCCCTGCCTGCCTCCCTGCTGTGGTCTCAGCTTGGGCTGGGAGGTGAAAGGGGGTGATTAGCTGCCTTGTGCCTGTTATTACATTGATGTATTATTTAGCTCCAGAGAGGCAATGAATATTTGATCGTCTTGCACTGGCTATGGGCAGAGCGGGAGGGAGGGATTGGGGTGAAGGGGGTGGCTTCACATCCCCTGCCGCAGCAGCCATGGGGATTTAGGTAGGGCCCTGCCTTACCTGGTATATTCTCCCTAGGGATGCAGGCATGAGACTCTGGAGCCTCATCCTATGTAGATCTTGGTGGGGCTATAGGGATGCCACTTCCCTGCATTGCACTCTTTTTTTTTTTTTTTTTTTTTTTTAATTCTGAGGCAAGGTCTGGCTCTATTGCCCAGGCTGGAGTGGTGCAGTGGCGAGATCTCAGCTCACTGCAACCTTTGCCTCTCAGGCTTAAGCTGTCCTCCCACCTCAGCCTCCTGAGTAGTTGGGACAACAGGCGTGCACCACCACGCCTGGCTAATTTTTATATTTTTTGTAGAGATGGTGTTTTGCCATATTGCCCAGTCTGGCCTTGAACTTAGCTCAAATGATCCTCCTGCCTCAGCCTCCCAAAGTGTTGGGATTACAGGCATGAGCCACCATGCCCAGCTGGATTCCTTTTTTTTAATGGCATTTTGCTCCTTCTCTCAGGCTGAAGTGAAGTGGCATAATCTCGGCTCACTGCAACTTCAGCCTCCTGGGTTCAAGTGATTCTCCTGCCTCAGCTTCCTGAGTAGCTGGGATTATAGACACCTGTCCCCACACCTGACTATTTTTTGAATTTTTAGTAGAGGCAGGGTTTCTGCATGTTGGCCAGGCTGATCTCAGACTCCTGACCTCAGGTGATCAACCTGCCTCAGCCTCCCAAAGTGCTAGGATTGCAGGTGTGAGCCACTGCGCTGGCCTCTGGCTGGATTCCCTTGCTTGAAGTGTATATATGTCCCCAGGGGCTGTCTTCATCTCAGCAGGCTGTACTGGCTGGAAAGAGGCACTTCTAGGCTCCTTCCTCTGAATACTCCTAGCCTAGGAGCTGGGTGGTAGGAGGTAGCATGCTGGGAAACAGGCACATTTCTGTACCTGGGGTCCCAAGAGAGCCATTGGATAGGTGAGCAGACAGAACATACAGTTTAGTAGGGCCAGGAAGAAACTGTCTCCCTCCTTTGCTCTTTTCAGGCCTGTAGTCCCTGGGGCACTGATCATCATTTAAAGAGCAGTGAGGGCCTGGGATCCTGCCCCCTGCTCAGAAGAAACTACCCCAAATCCCCCACCACCTCACTCACAGGCCTCTGCCCTGGGAACCACACCCGGGGCCTTAGCAAGAGCTGGGCTTCCACAGCTGACCTCACCTTTGCCAGTAGTGCCCAGAGGGCATATTCTGGGGGCTGAGCGGGTGGTGGGGATAGGGAGAGACTCCAAATTCCCCCACCTCCTAATTCTCCCACCCACAACCTAGGCCCCAGTTGAGGCTCAAGGAAAGCCCCAGGCTGAGTCCAAGTGCCAAGCAGACCCCAACTGCACCTGGCTTGGCTCTATCACTATGGAGACAGCAGCTGGGGAAGCTGGCCCACCCCTCACCTTCCGTGATGTTTGACAGTTGCCCCTCTCCCTCTCACACAGGAAGGGTAGCAGATCCTCTTTCTCCCAGTCTGGATTCCTGCACACGGCGGGCCTGAGCCCTGTGTTCCTCCTTACCACCCCGACCTGCTTTCTGTGCCTCTGATCCAGGGAGATGAACCCAGGGGTTGCTCCTGAACAGGACAGATGAAGAGGCTCCTTACTTGGAGGATGTATTGTGGGTGGAAGGAGCAGGTTAGAAGGGGTTTGGGCCACCAGCCTGGCTCAGCACTGGTTTGGGGCACCCCACCCACCAGCAGAGTGCTCTCATGGTCCCCTTTTGCCATCTTGTGTCTCAGGAAGCCCCAGTCATTGAGGGTGGGTGGGTAAGGGTTTCTCAGAGTCGACCCAGGCATAGGGGGAGAAATCCCTTAACCTGTTTCATCCCAGCACCCTCCTCCTTGCAGCTGGTTGAGTGTTTCTTAGGCCTTCTTTATCCTACTGGCACTTCAGCTCCCTCCTCAAGTGGGGACTTGGGTGTGGGCCAGAGGCAGGGGCCTGCTGACTCCCTGGATGCTGCTCCTGGGAGCTCTGTGTGGGGGAGGGCAGGAGAGGGGCCTCCTGCTGCATTCTGCAGTCCTCATGCCCTGTGGGCGATGTTCTCTAGCTGGCCCTGGACACATCTCTCTCCAAGCTTGAAATGGGGGTGGGGGAGGTGGAAGGGACACTACTTGGGTCTCTTTATTCTACTTCAGCTCCTCACCTCAGGGCTGAGTGGCCCTTAATAAATGTGGGGGGAGGGCAGGCTTTGTGGAAGTACAGGGAGCTGAGGCTAATTCAGGGTGGGGAGAGGAGTGCACAGCTGCCTGCTTTCTCCCTCCTTCCTTCCCTCCTTCCTTCCCTGTCTCCCTTGCCACTCTTTTCCTCTGCCCTGTCTGTGTAGCCCCAGTCAGGGCAGAGGGCAGAGGGCAGCAGGAACGAGCCCCCTGAGCCCAGGAGGCTACATTATTCATGAGTGTGCTGTGTGTGCTGAGTTGCCTCTCCCTGGACGAGGGGGTGGGGTGGTCCTGGCTAACCTGTGCTCCCTTTTCCTGGCCACAGGAGCTGACACGATGAGTGACACGAGTTCTGTAAGCTTGGAGGTGAGCCCTGGCAGCCGGGAGACTTCAGTTGCCACACTGTCACCGGGGGCGAGCAGCCGTGGCTGGGATGATGGTGACACCCGCAGCGAGCACAGTTACAGCGAGTCAGGTGCCAGCGGCTCCTCTTTTGAGGAGCTGGACCTGGAGGGCGAGGGGCCCTTGGGGGAGCCACAGCTGGACCCTGAGACTGAGCCCCTGGGGACTACCAAGTGGCCCTGGCAGGCCAGTACCCCTGAGAAGGGCAAGGAGTAACCTGTGGCCTGCACCCTCCTGCAGTGCCATTGCTGAGGAACTGAGCAGACTCTCCAGCACTCTCCAGCCCTCTTCCTCCTTCTCCTGGGGGAGGAGGGGTTCCTGAGGGACCTGACTTCCCCTGTACCAGGCCTCTTGCTAAGCCTTCTCCTCACTGCTCTTTTGGCTCCCAGGGCCAAAGAAGTCAGGGACTGTTTTCTGCACCAGCCCCCAGGGCTGCTGCCCCTGTTGTGTCTTTTTTTCAGACTCACATTGGAGCTTCCAGGACCCAGAATAAAGCCAATGATTTACTTGTTTAACCTAGATTTGGGTTGTGTATTTGTTTGTTAGTTCTGCCTTGGTGGGCAGGGGGGTCCCCGTACAGATAGGCTGGGATTGGGCAGGAGCCTCCCCTCCCCAGGACAAGGAATGGAGGGAACATGGCAGGTACCCTGGGGTGTTAGAAATCCTCCATGTCCTGCTTTGTGACCCCAGTGGTCAACTACCCCTCCATTGCAGCTGCCAGAGAGCAAGCGGAGCCTGGCTTGTGTGAGAGCTGAGTACGGGGTACCCTCCAGAACTCAGGAGTGGGGAGCTCACAGCCTGTCTTCGTCTGCCTCCAGGGGATGCCTCTCTGTCTGTGGCTCTAGTGTGCCTGCACGTGGTACCTCCCTAGCAGGCAAGGCTGTCTCATTGTGCCTGCCAGTGCCTGTGTACCTGTATGCATGTGCACCCATGCTCATGCATTTGGCTCTGTAACCACGGATGGGGCTGCTTGGGTGAAGCTGTGCCCAGGTGAGCATCAGGGTGTGCTTGTAGCTGAGCATGGCTGTGTCTGTGTGGATGACTGTGCTTTGTGTCTGTGTATGGTTGAATTATAGGAGTGTGTGAGGCTGGCTAACAGCATCTCTGTGGGGGCTTTGTCCATATACAGCTGTGTGTGGCGGTGCCTGTACAGCTGTGTGTATGGTGATGTTCATGATGTTCATGTAAAAAGCTATGTGTTTTGCTATGTGTCTGCGTATAAAGGCTATGGGGCTCTGTGCAGCTGTGTATCCATGATTATGGCTGTGCACGTGTGGCCATGTCTTGGTCTACAGCTATCTGTGGCATGTCTATGTGAGCAGCTGTATATATGTGGCTGTGTCCACATGTGCAGTGGTGTGTAGGCATGTTCATAGGGGCAAGGGTTTGCCCATTTGTATTATGGCTGTTTGCAAGTATAGCTGTGTGTGGTTGCATGTTTATGTGTGCTATATATGTGGCTATGTCTACATGTACAACTGTGTGTAAGGCTGAGTGTTACGTCCTCATCTGTGTGCACAGCTGGGAGTGGTGGCTGTCTAGCTGTGTGTAACTGCATGTCCAGGTGCTGTGATTGTGCAGCTTGTTTGCTGCAGGCCACATCATGGGCTTTTTGGGCTGGTGCTGTACATAGCCATATCTGTGTATACAGCCCCATGCCTTTTGTGAGGCTGATGTGTTGAGCGGGCTGGGAGTGTGGCTAGTGGGAGTGTGGCTGGGAGGAGTGTGTGACTCCTCACCTCAGCGCCCTCCTGCTGTCAACCCCTCCTCTACAGAGGCCTGGCCCATCGCTCACCTACCCCAGGGAGTGGTTGCTCTGAGGCAGCCAGAGAGGGTGAGAGCAGCCGGTGGCAGAGTTGGAGGTGGAAGACAGCATGTCTGTCTCTCGCTACCACCTTGTCTCCTGTTAGTGATGGGGCTTGTGTTTATTTGGGTTTGATGTGTCTGTTTTGTTTCAAAACTGTATTCTTTCCACAGCAGTGGGACACTGGGTTTCTGTGTCCAGGAAAAATACTTGTCCTTGGTGATCATCCCTGCCCCCCCTACGGACTGCCACTTGCATATGTGGGGGTGTGTCCCTGAGGGGTCTGGGCTTGGCATGTTCTTTATCATGTATCTGAGCTGGCCTTGCTTCCACCGACACCTGTGGAGGAAAGGGCAGTGTCAGGGGAATGTGTGTAGGGATGCCATGCCCCTTGGCACTTGTTAGTATGTGTACATGTTAGGGCAGATAGCACAGGCCCTTTAATCCCCATTCCTTCAGCACAGTCTGGCACTACAGCTTACCCACTACCCTCTAACCAGGGGTGTCCTTCCCCATACTGCTGTGGGAGGGAAGAGTCAAGAGCATCTTCTCAGAGCTGTCCTCCCTCTGCTTGGGCTCCAGCTTTCACTCCCTCCTACGCAGCAGCCAATTCCAGAAGTCTTTCCCCAGGCCCCTCCCCTTCCAAATCCCCCTGCCATCCATAACACTCCCTAAGGGTTGACCCTAGTACTTGGTTCTGCAGGTTGCTATCTCCTTGCTTAAATACCCTTTTTACATGGGAGTAAAAAGGTGGCAGGTTTAAAGGGCATCTGCAGGAAGGAAGGGGACCCCCACTCTCCTCTGACCTCTCCTTTCCCCAATCTTTTCCTCCTAATGAGGCTCCAGCTCAGGCCCCAGCTCTCAGAAGGGGCCGAGGACACATGCCACCAGCTCAGGCCTGGGATGTAGACCCAGCTGGTCATTGGGTGGGGAGAATAGACTCCACCTGTTTCCCACGTGCCCATTTACCTATTCCCCAGAGGTACCCCTTGATGCTAGGGCCAGCTCCTCCACTCTGCAGTAGCACTATGTGCACCTGTTGGGGCGCAGTGACCTTCCTCACACCTTGCCCCATGGCATTCCCCCTTCCCCCACCTGTACTCTGCAGGTGGTAGTCTGATAATGGGGCGGAGTGGGCCACCAAGCACTTGCTCCAGCACAGAGGGAGAGCGCTCGGAGATTCAGCACCAGGATGTGGACAGCTCCAGACCCAGAGGTCCCAAGAAGAGCTGGAGCGTGGAGGGTCCAGAGGCTGGCGGAGGCAGGGTTGGGAGCTGGAGACCTGGAGTCAGAGTCGGGAAGAATGGAGGAGGGGCTGGGGGCGGGCCGGGGCCGGGGGCGGGGCGGGCCGCGATTGAAAGCGGCTGGGCGAGCGAGCTGGCGGAGAGTGCAGAGCCAGCTAGCAAGCGAGCGAGCGAGCGGTAGCCAGAGCCCCGCGTCCCCCGCCCGCTCCACTCCGATTCTCTCCGCGCCAGAGCCGAGCGCACCAGGTAGGGTGAGCCGGTGGTGCCGCTACCGCTGCTAACCTTTTTGGCCCTGACCTCACGTCCCAAGGCCCTGCAGGCCCTTGAGTTGTGGGGCGCCCACGCCGGGATGTCCAGACAGCGCTCCCTGGGAGCTCCGGGAAGCGGGAAGACAGCCCTGGGCGTCCCGCCTTTCTTCCCCAGAAAACGCACGCTCCGAATAGCGCTTCCCTGTTCCTCCTGCTCCAACGTCCTCTGGTCCTTCTTTCTGTCTGTGTCTCCGTCTTTGTCTCAACCTCTCAGGCTCGTTCTGTCCCTGCCCAGATTTTGTGGCCCAGGTCCCTGCCTGCCTGACTCCGGGTTTCTGTCCCTTTCCTTCCTCTGAGCTTCCGTCTGGGCCTCTCCTGTGGGAGGCTTGCGACTTGACCAGTTTTGGCCTCAGCCCCCACCTGGGTCCCTGTCCCCATCTGCGCTGGTCTTCCTTCCTGCTTCTCCTTCGCTTGCCTGTGTGAGCTGCTTCTTTCCTGATCCCCAGAGGAGCCCAGTGCCCCTGCCCTGGGAGCTGAGGGAGCAAAGTGAGGAGCCTCAGCCTCTGTGGCCAGCACATGGGGTCCTTGAATTAGTTGCTGCCCTTCTTCAAACTCAGTTTCCTTTCCTGTTCTGAGGAAAGAGGTGTAGCCCTCTCCCAGCCTTTCCAAGCCTGTGTGATTGTGAGAGCCTTTGTGGGGTGTGTTTGGGAAGGCAACTGGAGTACACATGATAGGCTGCAGGGGGGAAGAGACAGGGAGGGGGTTTCTGAGGGTCATGGCTAGGGTGGGCAGGTCCCTGAAGCTGAGGATGGGGAGATTGGAAATGGTGACTTTCTCTGCTGGGTTTGGAGTGAAGAGAAAACAAAGGCACAAAGTCTCAAACAGCATTCTACATAGAGCTAGGGAGTCGCACACTCTCACCCTCAGCACTGTTTGGAGACTCTATCCCCCAACTCTGACACACACTCTGCTTGCCCTGCTGACTTATGACCTTTGACCACTTGGGTACCCTCCCTAGGGCCAGCCTTTCTATGTTGCTGTCTCATTCCCAGGGCTTAGGGTCTCTATCCCTTCCTCAGTTAGGACACTGTGGGCATGGCTTTTTAAGAACCAAAGGCTAGGACTCTTGGGTGTTCACATAGGCTCGTCTCCCCATGGGTTGGAGACTGTCCCTTAGAGATTCTTCCCTGATGGGTCCTTCTGTCTGGAAATCCAAGGCTCAGGATGGAGACCTCTGAGTTTGTAACTCTGACATAGACTGTTCCAAAGGTATTGGCTTCGTGATCCTGGGGTCTCCTGTCATCTGCCTGGGCCTTCACTCTTTGCATCCCTCCCCACTGCTGGTTTTGGTAGGGGACTAGGGCCCATCTCTTGCCCAGCTGAGACCAGGGCTGAGAGACAGGCCCAGGGGAGTCCCAGGAGCTTCTCAGCCTAGTTAATGAAACCACCCTGTCCCTGGCTCCTGAGTACCTAGGAAAGGCAATTGGGGGGAAGTGGAGTCAGAAGGGGCAGCTGCTCTCAGGTTCCACTTTTCCTGGTCTGTTTGTCTATGTTTCTATCTCTGCAGGAGCTGGGTCCCTTCTCATCTCTCTTCTTGTCTGTCCTTTCTTGGTCCCTGTTTCCTCCGCTCTTTGCCTTTGCTGCCTCTAATCTCATCCCCTGGAGATCCAGGTCTGCTGGACCCATCCATCCCCTCTGGGGCCATGGGATCGCTGCTTGGGCTCCTGGCACTGCTGCGACTGTGGGGTGCTGTGGCTGAGGGCCCAGCCAAGAAGGTGCTGACCATGGAGGGAGACTTGGTGCTGGGTGGGCTGTTCCCAGTGCACCAGAAGGGTGGCCCGGCTGAGGACTGCGGTCCTGTCAATGAGCACCGTGGCATCCAGCGCCTGGAGGCCATGCTTTTTGCACTGGACCACATCAACCGTGACCCGCACCTGCTGCCTGGCGTGCGCCTGGGTGCGCATATCCTCGACAGTTGCTCCAAGGACACACACGCCCTGGAGCAGGCACTGGACTTTGTGCGTGCCTCACTTAGCCGTGGTGTCGATGGCTCACGCCACATCTGCCCCGATGGCTCTTACGCCACCCATGGTGATGCTCCTACTGCCATCACTGGTGTGATTGGTGGCTCCTACAGTGATGTCTCCATCCAGGTATGTGGAGGTCCCCCAAGTGGGGGCTAGGGAGGGAGGCCAGAGGTGGTGACCCAGAATTCCTGCTGAAAAGGGATTCAGGGCTGCTGTGCATTGGAAGGGAAACTAGAAGCTTCCTTGCAGTAGCTTTTACAGAAGCTAAGAAAGTGCCCCAATCACATAATGGCAGTTGATTTTTAGAGACTGTGCAAGAGAGAACATCTTACTCCCACTCCCACTACACACACACACACACACACACACACACACACCCTTATCCTTGATGTTAAACAGCCCTGAGGGGCCTTATAGCCAGGTCTCTGGAGTCAGACTTCTGGGTTTGAATCCTGGCTCTCCCAGTTACTAACTGCCTGACCCTAGGCATGTTATTTCTCTTTTCCATGTCATAGTTCCTTCCTTATGAAATTGGATTCACAACACTTTTTTTTTTTGAGACAGAGTATCACTGTCTCCCAGGTTGGAGTGCAATGGCGTGATCTTGGCTCACTGCAACCTCCGCCTCGTGGGTTCAAGTGATTCTCCTGCCTCAGCCTGCCAAATAGCTGGGATTATAGGCAAATGCCACCACGCCCAGCTAATTTTTGTATTTTTAGTAGAGAGGGGGTTTCACCATGTTGGTCAGGCTGGTCTCAAACTCCTGACTCCAGGTGATCTACCCACTCAGCCTCCTAAAGTGCTGGGATTACAAGCATGTGCCATTGTGCCTGGCCCATAACGCTTTCTACTTTTAGGTTTACCGTGGAAATTTAATGAGTTGATCCGTGCACAATATGTATCAGGGGGCCTGGCAAGTCATAAGGGCACAGTTGATATTAGCTGCTATTATTTTTAACTCATTTTATAGATGAGGAAACCAAGGCTCAGAGAGAGAGAGAGGTGGGGCCACATTCAAGGCACTGGTGGAGGGGAGCTGTGGAATCAGCTCTGGGCCAAGGGCCTCTCCTGGTTTGTCAAATCATCTCTTCCTGAAAGGGAGAAGGGTGGCCAGATAGAAGCCAGGAGTGGCCAGAGGAGAAATTCAGGGTAGGGGAGTCAGGAGGAAGATAAACAGAATGTGTGTCGGGGGAGGGTACTGGAGAGTCTTCAGGGGCACAGGATTTGAGGGTGTGGGAAGGGTGGGGAGCCAGCTCCCCTGCCCTCTGCCTCCTACTCTCCCACAGGTACCAGAAGAGGGTGCCCTGTGGCTCAGCTTCAGCAGAGGCTGCTGGCCCCACTGGCACCCCTCTGTTGCTCCCAGGGCTGTGCCCAGCTCTGATCCTCTTACTCTCTGACTGGGTCCTAGCTCTCACTCAGATTCCCACTTTCCAAGTGCCCAGCACAGGCTGCTGGAAGATGTGGCTGGAACTAGAATCAGGGCTGGGGGACATAAGGTAGGTCTTGGCTGGGCCTCAGCTTCCTTTAGGAGAGTGACTGATGCCATTGCCATCAGGGAGAGGGACAGGCCCCCTGTCCTGCAGCAGTTGTTCAGGAGAAATGGAGCAAAAGGAGGAATCAGAATACTGGAGTCAGCTTCTGGCCTGGGGTTGGGGAGGCCTGGCGGCTCCATCCACTGCTGGAAGTAGATTATCTGTCCTGCTAGTCCCAGTCACCAGAGATGGCTAGGTAGCAGCCTGGGAAGATGTGGTTATGCTAGCATCTACATCTGCAGCCCTGGGTGGGGGCAGGGATGAGTGGGTGGCCTCCTACCTACTACTGTCTTCCACGGCCTCTGCTGATGTCTTCTCCACAGACCTCTTTAGGGCCCATGCATTTATCTCCAGGAGTCCAGTTATCTCCTTGACACCCTGAGCAGCCTGCCTCCTGGAGCAGGGCCCACGCCTCTGCAACGGTCTGCTTCTCCCTTGTCCTGATCAACACAAGGCTAGCCCATCACCCATAGGCTGCACCTGCCTGTTAATATTTCCCCTCATGACTACTCCTTCTCTCTTGCCCATGTCCCTATCATCTTCCCTTTGCCAGGCACTGTGGCCTCCCATGCATGATCATTTTTATCCTCTCAGCAGCCTTGTAGGGCAGGGATATGAAACTGAGGCTCAGGGAGATTTGCCAACTCCAGGGGCCCAAAGGTAGAACATGTGGGAGAGGGGGAGACGTTGAGCCCTAGCCTGTCAGAGCCATAGCCTGTATCCAGTTGCAACACAGGACTCATCCCTGTGCCATGCTCTGCTTTTGCCTGGCACAGGGATGAGCCATGTGCCATCTGAATCTGGGCCATGCTCTGCTTTCGCCTGCCCACCCTCTACCAGGCCCTTGGCTAGATCCCACTCCTGTGGGACCTGAGGGTGGGCAATGGGGTGCCGGGCAGTCAGTGGTAGATCAGGAACCTTGTTTATTTAAGACTCGGGTATCCAGTGGAGACCAAGCCTTGGACTATTAGGGTTATGGGACCCTGAGATCTGGGTCTTTCTTCTTGGCAGAACCTTTTTCTTCTTTCTGTATCATTCCATCAGATTGATTCTGGGGAAGCACTACCTACCCTCAAATAGGTAGAGAGCAGAGGAGCCCTGAGCAGCCAGACACCATCTCACGCCTCCTTCTGCCCCAGTGTAGACAGGTGCCAATCTCCTTCCACCCAGGCCTTCCCTCAGCCCCCCTGCCACGTGTTTAAAAGGGGTTGGCAGAGGGGATCAGCTGTGGCTCATGACCCTGGTGTCTCAGCCCTGGGTCTTCTCTCTCTCAGCCCTTCGGAAGAGAGAAAAAACTCCCTGCCCCAGAAAGAAGACTGTCAAGTTAGGGTGCAGCCTGTAGAGAGGGAGCCCTTAGGGCTGAGCCTGCAGACACTTGACACAAGACCTGCTAGCTGTGTGGGGTGCACCTGTCTCTAGCTTTCAATCCAACCTCTGATCTTTGCCTTCTCTACTCCTCCCCCAGGTGGCCAACCTCTTGCGGCTATTTCAGATCCCGCAGATCAGCTATGCCTCCACCAGTGCCAAGCTGAGTGACAAGTCACGCTATGACTACTTTGCCCGCACAGTGCCCCCTGACTTCTTCCAAGCCAAGGCCATGGCTGAGATTCTCCGCTTCTTCAACTGGACCTATGTGTCCACTGTGGCATCTGAGGGTGACTATGGTGAGACAGGCATTGAGGCCTTTGAGCTAGAGGCTCGTGCCCGCAACATCTGCGTGGCCACCTCGGAGAAAGTGGGCCGTGCCATGAGCCGTGCGGCCTTTGAGGGCGTGGTGCGAGCCCTGTTGCAGAAGCCCAGTGCCCGCGTGGCTGTCCTGTTCACCCGTTCTGAGGATGCCCGGGAGCTGCTTGCTGCCAGCCAGCGCCTCAATGCCAGCTTCACCTGGGTAGCCAGTGATGGCTGGGGGGCCCTGGAGAGTGTGGTGGCTGGCAGTGAGAGGGCTGCCGAGGGTGCCATCACCATCGAGCTGGCCTCTTACCCCATCAGTGACTTTGCCTCCTACTTCCAGAGCCTGGACCCTTGGAACAACAGCCGTAACCCCTGGTTCCGTGAATTCTGGGAGCAGAGGTTCCGCTGCAGCTTCCGGCAGCGAGACTGTGCAACCCACTCTCTACGGGCTGTGCCCTTTGAGCAGGAGTCCAAGATCATGTTTGTGGTCAATGCAGTGTACGCCATGGCCCATGCGCTGCACAACATGCACCGTGCCCTCTGCCCCAACACCACCTGGCTCTGTGACGCCATGCGGCCAGTCAATGGGCGCCGCCTCTACAAGGACTTTGTGCTCAACGTCAAGTTTGATGGTAATGGTGCTGGCCAGTGTCCACTGGTCTGCTGGCTGTCAGAGGATGAGGGGAAGCAGGTCTTCAGGTTCCATTCCTTTGCTAAGGAAACAGTATAGTGAAAGTAAAGGACTCACCCAGGGGCGGCTGGCATCAGAGCCAGAGCAAGGATGCTAGGCAGAGAAGACTCCAACTGAAGCAGGGGCTGAGGGTTCACTTTCTTCCAGAGTAGACCTCTGGCCTGGTCCTGCCATTTTGAGGGTCTCTGGCTCCTCCCTGGGCCTTGCCTTCTACCTTCTGTCTCATTATCTTGCCAGGGGTGGAGACCAGGAGACCTCAAGCAGCCCATTCTCAGGCAGCAGTGAGAGTCAGAATCGGTCTGGCTTGAGGGTGAGCATCAGGATGACACTCTCTATTCAGGGAAAATGTCTCTTTCTTTCTTTCTTTCCTCTTTCCTTCTTTCTTTTTTCTTTCTCTCTCTCTTTCCCCTCTCCCTCCCACTCTTTCTCTCTTTCTCCCTTTCTCTCTCTCTTTCCCTCCTTCCTCCCTCCCTCTTTCCTTCTTTCCTTCTTCCCTCCCTCCCTCCCTCCTTCTTGCTTTCTTTCTTTCTCTTTTTTCTTTCTATTTCTCCTCTCTCTTTCTCTCCCACCCATTCTTTCTCTTTCTCTTTCTCTCCTTCCTCCCTCTCTATTTCCTTCCTTCCTTTCTCTCTTTCTCTCTCTTTTCCCTCCCACCCTTTCTGTCTCTTTCTCCCTTTCTCTCTCTCTTTTTTCTTTCTCTCCCTCCTTCCCTCTCTCCCTCTCCTTCCTTCCTTCCTTCCTTCCTTCCTTCCTTCCTTCCTTCCTTCCTTCTTTCCTTCCTTCCTTCCCCCCCCCTTTCTTTCTCTTTCAATGGGGTCTCACTATATTGCCCAGGTTGCAGTGCAGTGGCTATTGACAGATTCACAGGCACAATACCGCCTCCAACTCCTGGGCTCAAGCAATCCTCTTGCCTCAGCCTCCTGAGTAGCTAGGATGACAGGCATGTAGCACTGCGCCTAGCTTCAGGGAAAATTTCTATTCCTAGTCTTGGTTTTCCACTCAAGGTGGCCTGAAAGTCTCCCAAAATCAAAAGTTATTTTAACAAAAGTACCAGCTTTAAGAGAAATGAGTGCTGTAGATCATCATGATGCTTCAGGAAGAATCACCGTGGGAACAGTGGGAGACAAAGCTTGGAAGCCCTGGCCCAGGGTTAAGATGAAGAGCAATTCCAATAGAACTGACATTCAGACTTATGCTACAATCAGGGTAGGGGTTAGGGTTGGACTCGGGTCTGATTGGGTTGTTGGAGCAGGGCTAAATTCAGCCTGTTTGGCTTGGGTGGAATTTACAGTAGGGCTAGAGTTGGATTTTGAGAACTTTGAGGCTGAGTAGAAAGAGTAGGTGCTTGAGGGGACCTGGGTTTGAATCTAGGCTGGTCCTTCAGCACGTCTTCTGTTTTCTTGAACTCTGATTTCTCACTGGGGCTGGGATGGTTGTAAATCCTGGCTAGAGCCTGGCTGGGAGATGTGGGGTTCATGGGATGAAGCGCGGGTGGAGAGAGGAAGTGATATTCCAGCCACTGAGCACATTCTGGTGAATGGCAGTGGTTGCAGGTGATGACCACTGAGGTTGGGATTCAGTTTGCACCAGAGTGGCTGTTAGAACTGGGGGTGCTGCCCCATGTTCTCACTCATAGGTGGGTGTTGAACAATGAGAACATGTGAACTCAGGGAGAGGAGCATCACACACTGGGGGCAGTTGTGGGGGGGGTAGGGGAGGGACAGCGGGGGTTGGGGAGGGTGGGGGCGTGGGAAGGGATAACGTGGGGAGAAATGCTGGATGTAGTATACACCTAAAGTAAAATTAAAAAAGAAAACTTAGTAGAACTCCTCACTACCTAATACTATAATGCTGCATTAGTAATACTATTCTATATAACTAGGATTAGGTATAGTATTTTAATCTTTAAAAAGAAAAAACTTTTAAAATAAATTAAGTAAATTAAAAATAAAAAGAACTGGGGGTGCTGGAGCTGGAGTTGTTGTTAGGGTTAGTGGGGACAGGATTGGAACTGAGACTGGGTTTAGCCTTAGCACTGAGTCTGGGGAGAGCGCTGTGGTGTATGTTTTGATGAAGTTGGGATTTGGGGCCGGGGTTGGAAAGTGTTCGATAGCACTAAAGTTGAATTTGGGGAGTCACGGTTGGAACTGATGTGGACCTTAGGTTTCTGGAGATGTCTGGGCTTTAAGGCTGGGATTACACTTGGCATTTAGGGTTGGGGTTTGAGGTTGGAGTTTAGGGGTAAGACTTTGTTGTCATCTCTCGGTTAGAAAAATGACTGGGGTCAAGACAGGATTTAGTTTTGGGTTAAGGATTGGAAGGACTAATGGTGGCCTTAGCTCTGGTGGTTGGGTTTTATGTTAGGGTGGATGTTGAGGTCACATCAGGGTAGCACGCCAATCCAACCGTCTCTTCCTTCCCTCCCCATCCTAGCCCCCTTTCGTCCAGCTGACACCCACAACGAGGTTCGCTTTGACCGCTTTGGTGATGGTATTGGCCGCTACAACATCTTCACCTATCTACGTGCAGGCGGTGGGCGCTATCGCTACCAGAAGGTGGGCTACTGGGCAGAAGGCTTGACTCTGGACACCAGCCTCATCCCATGGGCCTCACCCTCAGCCGGCCCCCTGCCTGCCTCTCGCTGCAGTGAGCCCTGTCTCCAGAATGAGGTGAAGAGTGTGCAGCCGGGCGAGGTCTGCTGCTGGCTCTGCATCCCGTGCCAGCCCTATGAGTACCGATTAGATGAGTTCACCTGCGCCGATTGTGGCCTGGGCTACTGGCCCAATGCCAGCCTGACTGGCTGCTTCGAACTGCCCCAGGAGTACATCCACTGGGGCGATGCCTGGGCCGTGGGTCCTGTCACCATCGCCTGCCTGGGTGCCTTGGCCACCCTCTTTGTGCTGGGTGTCTTCGTGCGGCACAATGCCACACCAGTGGTCAAGGCCTCAGGTCGGGAGCTCTGCTACATCCTGCTGGGTGGTGTTTTCCTCTGCTACTGCATGACCTTCATCTTCATTGCCAAGCCATCCACGGCAGTGTGTACCTTACGGCGTCTCGGTTTGGGCACTGCCTTCTCTGTCTGCTACTCAGCCCTGCTCACCAAGACCAACCGCATTGCACGCATCTTTGGTGGGGCCCGGGAGGGTGCCCAGCGGCCACGCTTCATCAGTCCTGCCTCACAGGTGGCCATCTGCCTGGCCCTTATCTCGGGCCAGCTGCTTATTGTGGTCGCCTGGCTGGTGGTGGAGGCGCCGGGCACAGGCAAGGAGACCGCTCCCGAACGGCGGGAGGTGGTGACGCTGCGTTGCAACCACCGCGATGCAAGTATGTTGGGCTCACTGGCCTACAACGTGCTTCTCATCGCGCTCTGCACACTTTATGCCTTCAAGACTCGCAAGTGCCCCGAAAACTTCAATGAGGCCAAGTTCATTGGCTTCACCATGTACACCACCTGCATCATCTGGCTGGCATTCCTGCCCATCTTCTATGTCACCTCCAGTGACTACCGGGTGAGCTACCTGCCATAGAGGTGGAGGGAGGTGGGACACCAGACCCTCTGTTTCCTGATATCTTATTTAATCTACTGGTAGCTCCGGGGCTCCAAGAGGTTAAATGGCCACTCAGGGGACAACAGCTTGTGTGGATCTCAAGAGGAAGGTGGGAGGGCTGAATAGGGCCTAGGGAAATGCCCAGGGAGATGGGGAACTCGAATTAGAGAGAGCTGAGATTTCAGGACTTGCATGTCATCCTCTATCCTGGGAGGAGATGAGGGGCAGAAATATGTTCAGATGAACAGGGTTCTGCCCCGCTCCACTGAGGGGTCAGCTGCAGAAGAGGTTGAGAGATGAAGCCAGGGAAGCCAGGAAAGATAAAGCAAGGTGGGCAGGGGAGGAGGTCCAGGACGAAGAGTTGAGAAAAGCTAAAACAGGTGAAAATTGTTCCCCCATTGGTGGCTTCTGAGCAAATTTGGTTCCAACTGGCACTGTGTCTCAATGGGTCTCCCCAGCCCCAAGGGGCAATGGCTACTTGTCCCCACTGTTTGCAATGGCCGTGAGGTGGTGGACTCGACAACATCATCGCTTTGAAGACCCCATGCTCCCGCTCTGACATGGCTGTTCACCCGAACCCAACACAGACCCGTGTCCAGGGTCAGGAGGAAGTTGGCTGGAGCACTGCAATAATTTATTGCCCACCCCATGTCTGCCCCCAAAGTCACTTAGCCACCTCCTTACCCCAACTCTTCAGACTCAGCAGTCAGGGGCCTTGGTCAGGGGCCTTGGCCAGGGTGGTCAGGGAAGCTCCCTCTGAGGAGGTGACAGATAAGCTGTGTTCTGAATAAGAGGATCATCTTGGTTAATCTTCACGACTTGAGTAAGCTCCATGGCTCTCTGGTTTTACAGATGAAGAAACAGAGACTCAGGGAGGTTCAATCCCTTGCCCAAGGTCACTCAGCTTTGGAGTGCAGAGCAGGGTCTAAACTGCAGGAAAATTGAGGCGAAAGCCCCTTTCCCAGGACAGAGGTGTGGTGGCACAGTGCTGGGGGCCAGGGGCTGCGGGTTTGGCTGCTCTGCTTGCACCTGCTGGGCCACCTGCTTGGGTGGAAGAGGCCAGGGCTGGGGAGGGACTCTGCTCTGACTCAGCCTGCATTTGCATATGATTTGCATTTGCATGCCAATCATAGGCAGCTAAGGACTTACCTGGGGCACACAACATACCCACACGTGCATGGACACACACACTTGTACACACACACTAGGCACGTGTATGCATGCACATACACATATCCTACATACACACATTCCCCGGGCACAACTGGCACACATACACACTTCTTCCTGCCAACAAACGAATCCATAGCCATGCACCCTACACTCACATACACTCACGCAGATGCCTGCAGAAATTCACCACCCCACATACATGCACCTACACAGATACACACACACCTACATGCATGTACTCCATACCTGCACCCCCCTCAAATGCACACCCTCTTGTGCATACACACACCCTTGCATGTTCTCCCCTTCAGCTGGAACTCTGGTCTCCCTGGGAAAATGGTCTGGATCTGATGCTGAGACTGTGCCCAACTTTTCTAGCAATGCTTTGGGACCTGGCAAATGGATCATAGCCCAGTGTTGGATGCTTAATCTCCCCCACTTCCTCCCCCATAGCCCAGGCAGGGGGTCCTGGGGTTAGGCCCGGGTCTTGACCTGTGCCTGCCCACCCACTCACCCATCTCAGGTACAGACCACCACCATGTGCGTGTCGGTCAGTCTCAGTGGCTCCGTGGTGCTTGGCTGCCTCTTTGCGCCCAAGCTGCACATCATCCTCTTCCAGCCGCAGAAGAACGTGGTTAGCCACCGGGCGCCCACCAGCCGCTTTGGCAGTGCCGCTGCCAGGGCCGGCTCCAGCCTTGGCCAAGGTCAGTGTCCTAAGCAGCCATCTCCTCCTGTTACCCTCTCCCTGCCCAGCTCCTTGGGTTGCTGAGCTCTCTTATCTGGGGCTGAGGTGCCCCCCAAATGACACTGGCAGGAGAGGATGAGAGAGGGGAGGGGAGGCTTCCCTCATAGCCCTGCTTACCCACTGCTTGCCCTCCATGGAGGACCTTGGGGTTGGCCCCAACCTCTGGCTTCCTTTTCTTAGGGTCTGGCTCCCAGTTTGTCCCCACTGTTTGCAATGGCCGTGAGGTGGTGGACTCGACAACATCATCGCTTTGAAGACCCCATACTCCCGCTCTGACACGGCTGCTCGCCAGAACCCAACGCAGACCCGTGTCCAGGGTCAGGAGGAAGTTGGCTGGAGCACTGCAATAATTTATTGCCCACCCCATGTCTGCCCCCAAAGTCACTTAGCCACCTCCTTACCCCAACTCTTCAGACTCAGAAGTCAGGGGCCTTGGCCAGGAGCCTCTGCAGTGGCCACCAACTGCCCTTGTAGCTGTGTTTCCTCCTGGCCAGGCCCAGGACGTGGAGAGGAGCAAGCCAGGGTTCACTCTGCCCTGGACCAGAGTGGCTGAGGACGGCAGGCCCCAATCCTAACCAGCAAAAGTGCTTCCAGCCCAGCCCCTCCCCTCTCCCCCATCTAGGGCCTTTTTTATTTTTTATATAAGTTACTCTGGGATGGGGAGGGTGGTTATCATGGGGGCTGCCCCTCCCCCTGCATAGTAGTTTGTCCTGTGGTTTATTTTGTATTACCTATAAATAAAGTGTCTTTATTTTAAAAAAATCACTCTTTGCCTTTGACTCAGCTAGGCCCCTCACACCCTCCACAGCCTCGCAGCCATCATTCTGCTAGTGTTTAAACGTCAGCTCTGCTCTGCCTGATGTTAGGACCTGTCTGCCACCGAGACAGACCCAGCCCTGCCTGGTGGGAAGATGGAAAATGAATGAGCCATCCTCCCTTAAAAGGAGCCTCTGCAGACTGGCCCAGGCATCCTGGGGTCAGGGTTGGGGATTTAAATGGATAGACATGAATGAACAGGCTCATCTGGCAGTCTAGGGCTTTCCCTGGGGACCCAGCCTCCAGGATGGTGTGGGCAGTGGAGCAGGAGGGGCAGCTGGCTGTGGCCTCCGGGAATGGTGGGCTTTTCCACGGCTGGCCAGCCTGGCACAGGCTCCTCCAAATGCATGAAACCACGCCGAGCATTTGGTGCAAAGGGAACCAAAAGGAGGCATGGACTGATCGTCGCCTGTTCACATGGCACTTACAAAGGCAGAATGAGCTTGTGGGGAGAGGGGGTGGGTGAAGCGGGGAGGGCAGAGGCGGAGCAGCTGGAGACACCATCTGCTGTCAGGCCCAGAAGGAAGCCTTTCTCCAGTCCCGGGGGGAGCTCTGGCCTGGTGGGCCCGTTGAGGAGCCCAGAGCCCTTGGGCATCTCCAGAATTTGCTGTCTGGGCTCACCAGCAGAGGGCGCCAAGGTACATGGCTCTGGCCGGGCAACCGCTGCCCTCCTGTGGCCTAGAAGGCAGTGGGCACCGAACCAGAAAACAGCAGCTTCTGGGGTGTCCCCAGACTGCATAGCGCAGAGGGACAAAGTCCCACATTAGCTGGCAGCCCAGGGCGTTTGTTATTTCTACGTGAGCTCATTTGCATCCACAGGCTGGCAAGGCTGTGGAAATTTGGGTAAACAATTTAAAAAACAGAAACAAAAACAAAGAAAATTGCAGAAATGGCTTCTCCTCTCCAGCCAACATCTGGGACGTACGATTGATAAAATACAGACCAGGCAGTTACATTTGAATGTCATGAACACTGAATACTCTTTGTATAAATATGTCCCACACAACATTTGAGACATACACTAAAAATTTTTGTTGTTTGTCTGACATTGAACTTTAACTAGACATCCTGTATTTTCTTCTGCAACCCTTTTGGGCTGGTCTGTATTCTAGATCCCCTAATAACTCAGGCCTGGGTGCTGCTCCCAGTGGCTGGTTACCAGGGAAATGCACCCCATGGTACCCACAACCCCAGCCCACACTTCCAGTATGGCCTTTTCTGGGTCTTCCTGCCAAACCAGACTCTGAGGACATTTGCCCACCATCCCCAGTGTCCAGACAGACAATGACAGGGTGCTGAACCCCTTGTGCCCAAAAAGCAACCCTTCTTCACATGGCTCAGCAGTATTTTCCTTAAAATGTAAAATAAGAACAGCAACAACAAAACAAGTATTTATGAACGTGGTTCACAGCTAAAAAGGTACAAAGGGCGTCCAGTGAAGAATCTCCTTCTATCCCTGCCACCCATCCAGCAGGGAAAGCCAGAGGCCTGTGGGCCAGGGAAGAAGCCCAGGAAGAATTCCCAAGGACCAGTCCTCACATCTGCCTACCACCTCTTTTCTTCCACCCGCCCCCTCATATCCCCCTCCTGCATCTGTGAGAGTGGCCTCCTTATTTTTTGTCCCGTTATGTCAATGGCTTTGCCCCTCAGTCCATGACCCACACCCCTGAATTACAGATCCCTTGCACCCATTCTTATCGTGTTGTGGGCAGCGAATGGTCTGGGTCTGATGCTGCTCTGACTTCATGCCTCAGCTCTCAGTCCTTAGCACCATTACGAAGACCCACCAGCTTTCCCATCCCAAGGCTGAGAGTCCTGGGATATGGAGTGGTCTGGCTTTATGTCTCTGAATCTCTTCCTCTCCAATACCATAGTCCATGTCCTACAAACACTGACCCCTCTGCTTGTATCAGACTTGGACTCCTCAAAGGAAGCTCTCCCCCTTCTGGGGACTGAGGGCCAGAGACGCCCAGCATTTTGGGTTCTTTTCCACCCTAGGGAGCCACCCATCAAGGTAAATTCATTGTCCGTGCATATAACTACCAGGTTGCTTTGCTTGGGTAGCCAGAGCTTATACTAGGACATGGGTGTTTCTCCCATGGCTGTGTTTGAAAGCTCTCCCAGGCCCACTTTTATACTTTCCCCTGTCCCTTGCATTGGTCCTGTAAGACTGCAGGGTAGCCCTTGCCCTGTCTGGGTGGGCCTGGCTCACTCTTACTGAACCATGAGCTCCTGTGGCTTGGGCAAGGGTGCTTCAGGCCATGCTGCTCTTGGCTCCCCCAGTCCTGACATGGGAAAGGGAGAGGGGAAGAGTCATGTTACAAGGGCAGTCTGATGATGGCCGCCTTCCCACACTTGAGCCCTGTCCAGCAGCAGACCCTTGAGACAGAACACCAAAATCCAAGAGGAAGTGGATACATTGGGCAAAGGGGCTGGGAACAAAAAGTGAAGCTGAGGGATGACATGGAGCTGGGAATGAGATTCAGAATCCTCTGTACCCCAGAGCCCTGGGGCCAGACATTGCCCAGAGCTGCAGTTAGACCTGTATTACCAACCTTTTCGCAACGTGAATCAGGCCAGTGCTCTCCCTTGTTCTCCCAGCCTGGCCTGGCTGCTCACTTTCCTCTCCTAGACTGGGGGGTCGTGGGAGGCAGAGGGGAAAGGAGGAACCACTGAGGGGCTCAAGACCCCCTCAAGATGTCTCCACCTGAAGTTCCAGCAGAAAAAGGAATGGAGCCCATTGCTCCTATCCCCATGAGCCAGCAGGGAGCTAAGCACTGAGAGATGGGACTTCTCAGCCTGTGGGAGAGGCTAGGTGGGGAAAGCAGGGGAAGGAGAAAAGGGTGTGTGCACGCATGTGTGTGCACGTGTGTGTGCATGTGTGTGTGCACGTGTGTGAGAAATCAGAAAGAGAAGAGGGAAATGGAGGGGACTGAGGGTGAGGGACAGGAATCGAGGAGCAGAAGGAGGAAATTAAAATAGGGATGTGTTAAAACTTGAGGCCTCCTGCCAGGGGGTCAGTTTTTTCTTTTTTAAAAAATTATTTTTTCTGTGAAAACAATGTATGTTTAAGCATTGCAGAAAAGTACAAAAAGAAAATAAAAGTATTACCTCAAGTTTTACCATTCAAATATAACCATCATTAACATTTCTGGTACAGCATCCTCAACATATTTCTATGCTTTTTACAGATAGAAGGAGAGATAGAAATACTTTTATAAAAATGGGATCATACCATATGTCTATTTTTTTAGCGAAGATTTAATTTTACTTGACTCTAATTGAAGAAAATGAATCAGAAGTAAAACAAGAAATTCTTGAACTCCACATTTATGCACCACGAGATATTTTTCCTCCTTGAAAGATCCTTCTAAGTTTAAGAAAAGGGATGGAGTGACATTCACAGGTAAACATTCCTTCAGTCTCAGGGGATCAGAGGAGAGTTAGACCTGTGTTGTCAACCTTCTTGCAATGTGAATGGAAGGAGTCATCTCCTGGGGAAAGCCGGGGTCTGCTAGCCCAAGCAGGTCCGATGCACACTGCTCCTAATCCGGGGATGTGGACTGCATGCCCGTCATCCATGCACGGCAGCCACACTCAACAATGGGAACCAGGCAGATACCATACTTAAGCATGCCTGGGGAGGGGTGGGTCTTTGAAGCCGCCTACTCTGTCACTATCATGGATGTTACTTCTCTCCTGAGTCTTTCTCTTTCGCTTCCCTCCCCTCCCCTCCCCTCTCCTCTTTCTACCTCCCTCCCTCCCTCCCTTCCTTTCTCTCCCTTTCTTTTTTTCTTTCTTTCTCTCTCTCTTCCCTTCTTTTCTTCCTCCCTTCCTTCCTCCCTTCTTTCCTTCCTTCTTTCTGTCTTTTTAATATAGAGACAGAGTCTTGCTCTGTTTCCCAGGTAGGAGTGCAGCAGCAATATCATGGCTCACTGCAGCCTCAAACTCC